TTCAAACACCTCCACACCCTGCAAAAACATTTAGAATTTATTTTGAAAATTTGGGGGGAAACAAAAGATTGTTATATTTATTTGCTTGGCTACAACTATAATATGGAAAGCTAGCTTAATGTTGAGAACCAACTGTGAGATAGTATTAAAACTGATGCGTTGCCCATCAACTCGATATCCTGTTGCAACAACTATCTTTTGTTTATAGTTAACAGCTAATGAAACAGCTAATCGTTACACTGACACGCTCTTCTCAACACCCAATATCTAATATTGACTGCTAAGTTATTTTACCAAAAAGAGACATGTTACTAGCTGTGCTCAGTGTAAAAACTAAGCATCCTTATGGATATTCAGTTGTCAACATTAATGGATTAAAAATGTTTATAAAAACAATATAAATGCTGTTGTTAAAAGGTCTTCATAAACTCTATCTATGAACGGTGGCTCAATAAAGAAAAACACTCCAAACTTTTCAGCAGAGGAAGCACAAAGATTCTACACAAAAATAAACCTAGCATGATACCTTGTGCTTTACCAAGTGCAATGACAAATTGGATTCTTAAGAAGAAATGGGGAAAAAAAAATCTTACTATAAGACGATAAGTAAACTTTTAAAAGATAGCATTGTGCTTTTCATTACTACAGTTTTCTTTGCCTTTAAAGAACAGTATTTTAAGGAGACATTCACTTAGCCGTTCCAGAAAATAAGGAAGCACATAGAACTTGGTGAAGAAGAAAATTACTTTTTGGGTAGTGCTTTTGCTGCCATTGCACAATTTTTTTTTGCTTTTCCTTAGGCTGAAGCCATGAGGTTCCAAAAACAGTGACACAATTGACCTTGACACAGCCTCTCTTATACCACAAGCATAAGTATTCCAAGAGAAATGTAACAGCACAACAGCATCTGCCTGCACAGAAGAGCTTTATATATATGTGTGTGTATTTGTTTTCCTTACCTATTAGGCATATCTCTTCACTTCAACATTTTTATTTAATATGTCACATACATTTTCTTTTTCAAAGGAACCTAAAATTTGAGCCACTCCCTCAATTTATCTGTATATGGAGATACTTTATTATTACCTATATTATCACAAATCATTTGTTCATGTTCATTTCTTTGGCCAGTGTCTGATCACCTATTTACTAGGGATTTGATAAATCATATGGATCTGTAGGCACATGGAAGCGGGATATGCACTCCAGATGCCAGCTTTAAAACTCTCATTCTTCAATCAGATTTTTCATACAAAACCATGAGACTTTATATAATGACAGAATGAAAATCAAAAGTGACAGATTGGGTGACTGGAATTTTTATTGGACTTCTTTTATTAATTAAAATGCCCAGCCTTATCATTTTGGAAGAAAATTTAGCACCAGCTGGAATCCTCAGACAGCATTAGTAAAACAACAACAAACCTCCCTCAAATACAATTTTAAATCACAAGTTTAGAAAACATTTACAAAAAATTAAACACACAAAATCTAAAATTTCACTGACCACAGGGTGAAATCCTATCATCTGGGAAACTACAAGAAGAAACACACCATTTAATTCTGCTGAGGATGTTTAATTTGACAGATTCCAGGAGCCTTGAGTTTACAGAGAGCAGGCTGAAGTGTGATTTTACAGCAACTGAAATTCAGGGTGCAGATAAGCAAATTAGCGTTCTTGCACCAACAATGTTAAGCCAATGTTTGAAAAAAAAAAACCAAACAAACAAAAAAAGAGCAGAGAACCTAGGAGCCTACAATTTGTGTGCAAGATATTGGATTTCTAATGTATTCCCTCCCTCCAAAGACAGTCTGAGGAAAAAGGAAATCTTCAGTCCCACCTGACAACTCCTCAAGCTAAACAGGATGGTAGAGAGAGAAGTATTGCTAACTCTGCCCTTCCGGGCAAGAAGCCGGTGGGCTGGTGAGCAAACCTTTTGCTGCAGCCTCTGAAGAGCAGCTCCCTTCCTGACCTACCGTTTGCAGGCAGTAACACTTCAGGTTGCTGTACATCAGCTCCACTTGTTGAGGTTATACAAGCAGGGTTCAACTAAGGCACTACCAATACAAATGAGTTAGCTTGCTATTTCTACATATTTGTAGTTACAGTAGCATGCTAACAATGCATCTACTGCCTCCAGGATGTGTTTAATAAAAGGTTAGTTCAACTTCAAGCATTTTCTAGAACTCTGAATTTCAAGAGGTCCCACAGAAACTTGTTAACAGGAACGCCAACAAAAACCAGACGCTGTGGGCAGCCAGTTCTAGAGCACAGACATAAAACTACTGTACTGGTATGAAACCAGGCCCATGAGTTGTAAGAAAGGAGATATTTTGCTGTTCCTCCTCTAAGCCTTGCGTGCTGAGGACCTACTAAGCAGGAAAACAATGACAAAATAATGACAAAATGAAATCAATCCAAGTCGTGTTTGTAAGAGGAGACGGGGTTACACAACCTTACAGAGCAGCAGTCAGCCAAGAAGAGCCTTCCCAAAGAAACAGCTACTTTTCAAAAGAAGGCAGCAGACACATTCCTGTAGACACGGGGCATTGCGAGATACGTGCAAAGACTACGACTCATTTTCCCATAATATCTATCAGGGCTAATGGTCAGCAATAGCTCAGCTTAGCTAGCAGGACGTTTCAAGTCGTATTTCAATCTACTTTAACGATTGTACAATGCTAGAAACCAGCATATAAACATTTACGATGGCAAGTAAGCAGCTTTGACGTTTGGATTTTAAATCATTCACTCCTGAGCCCTAACCCAAAAGAACTTTCATGGAGAACAGAGCATAACATCAGGGAACTAAAGCCAAGGCTGATTTTGATATACATAATACTACTTTATTCCATTGTTTCAACTTTCATACAGGTTTTTAAAAACTGTACAGGGGTTCAGAACCACCTCAACAGAACAAAGAATACGTAATTAAGGGAGATGTAGAGACAAACCACATGTGTGCAAGTGTGGTTAGCTTCCACCACAAAAAGTAATAGGCAGTATCTTTACATACGCATTCGGGTGAAAGAAGGAATAATAGTGCAGTGTTAAAAGGCACCAATAATCAATAACTGGGCCTTTTTTAAAAACCAATAACCACCTAAGAAAATTACATTTGGTTCAAAATAAGAATTTAAATATTTTATTGATTGGCATGCATCTGAACCCCTGGCAATTTATTACACAAACCTAATGTGCACCCTTGTAAAATAAAAAAGATGTCATCCGTGGACCTGAAATTCAGTTCAGTACAAAAGGAAATACTGAAGCTCTTTGCCTGTATTTAATACTAAACCGTCTTGTTCACCTCCTCCAAGAACACTTGTCTAACAAACAGCTATTCAACAACTGCACAGAAGTACTTCCCTTAAAGCAAGTGTAATTTTTTAATCCTGTAGCACTGACGATTCTGTGTGCTATGAAAACATTAGGCACAGACCACAACTTACATTTTCTCTAAAAAAAAAAAACCCAGGATGTACAAGCTAGGTTCACAGAACAGACCGACAGCTACAAGAGTAAGCTATTTAGACTTCCCAAAGAAAAGGGTTAGTTACTCTGAGTTTTCCAAGCAGTGATGCACACCGCCGTGTGCGATTCTCATATCTGCATTAGGATTATCTGTGTAGCCAATAAAGGAAAAGCTTTAGTACACCCTAAAGGACACTACATCGATACTGTCTGCTAATTTAACAGGACCAAAGAGAATGAAAGATTGAAGAAGTCATTGTACATGGGCAGCTGCAGTTACTCAGCCAGCCAGGAAGGGCTATTGCTTTCTGCAGTAGGAAGGGCTTGAAACTCAGTTTACCTCATAGGTACCCTCAAACTAAACCACTTGGTTGTGACAAAATCTAGGGATGCAGAGTACTGGGGGGGGGGAGGGAATGGGAGGGAGAGCTTCTGTGAAAGTTGTACCAAAATGTGCCATTTTATCCAAAAGCGTCATGCTCAGTGTAGGTTGTATGCATTGCGGACTGTTTGTACAACTGAAAATTGTACAAGCTGTGAGCAGAGATAGAGCTGGTTATTAATCTGCAATGTCTAGTATAGTCCTCAGGTACATAATTTACGGATAGCTGCTTACTGTGTTGTTGATTGTTTCCTCTTAAATACACTTAAATTCAGAAGGCTACAGTATATTCTGACACAAAGATAGTAAGACACCTTTTCTACGAGGGGGAAATATAAGGTAGTAACTAACTTATTTATTTTATGAGGAACCTCCTCTGATGTGGTAGTTATTTCATGCCCTTTGGAAGATTTTTAGTTCAGACTTTCTTCATCTTCTCTGTCGAACGGCTCTCCACACAATTTCTTCGCTGTCTAACCGCTCTCCACACAATTTCACAAGAGCTATATTCCAGTTCAGCGACCCCTCTTACAGCAGCCTTCTCCTTTTCCGCAACCACTTGTGAACTCACTCTAACATCACAGCAAGCTATTTCAAGTAAACATTTCTCTTCTGGAAAGTTTCCACATACTGCAAATACTATCAAAACTCCGTGTTTGATTACATGCGCCACTTTTCTTTAAATGGAGCAGGAATTAGCCCGTTTCCTCGGTTTAGGGTCCCGTACATCCCTGTCTTTTAAGCACATACAAGATGAACATATCGTCTCTGAGAGTCTCCGCAGTCCCAGCCTGAAAACGCTGTTGGAGAGGCTATATATCACACAGTTGCAGAAACTATTGCTTATAGCAAGCCATGTCGTTAAGAAGGAAAGCGCTGGGTTTTCCAACACCCTAGAGCTCTCCAGCAGAAAGTATATGATATAGGGGAGCCACAGCACGTAGAACACACTGGTTATCCGAAACAAAACCATGGCATAGCGGCGATCAGGGCTGTGCCCAGTCTCCCCAGCAGCATCCACTTCGTGGCTAGGAAATCGAGCTCTCCGATCGTTTATCTCTTTGGTGTGCTGCCGGCAAATTTTAAAGATGTGGAAATAGGTGAAACATATGACAAAGGCAGCAGGAGCGTAGAGTAAGCACACGATAAAGCCAGTAAAGTAGGCATTAGTTAGCCAGGAGGTAGCACACCATTCAAAAATATCTCCATGGTAACCAGGTTTTCCCCAACCAAAAAAGGAAGGCAAGAAGATCAGACAGGAGTATATCCAGATCAAAATGATGCAGATTCTCAAGCGACAAGGTGTGACCAGTTGATTATAGGAGAGCGGCTTTGTTATAGCAAGATAGCGATCCACACTGATGCAAGCAAGACATGCCATAGATACGCTTTTTAGCACAGAGATGATGTATCCAAAAACTTGACAAGTCAAGGACTCGTGGACACCTGTTGAGTAGTGGAGCAGTGACAAAGTAGGAACCAAGCAGCTAACTCCAACGAAAAGGTCAGCATAGGCCATGGTCTGAATAAAATAGCTGGTGGTATAATGATGCAGAAGTGGAGCACAGTGAAAAACAAATATCACAGTTAAATTACCCGCAATAATTAGAAATGTTAGCAAGACAATAACAACTGTCTCAAGGATACAGATGTCAACTGCATTGTAGTGACCAAATCCAAGAGGGCAGGAGAGATGCTCAGATATGTTCATAACACTACTGCTCATATTCAGAGTCCGCCATTCAATCCATCGGGACTGGTTCATGTTTTGTGCTTAGGGAACACTGCAATCTGAGCCTTAGCGAGCAGATGACCTGCTTAACAGCAGCTAAACTCTGCTTCAGCGTCTCACGATCTCTCTTTGTAGACACTGCCAGTGCTTACATTTGAGAGGATTACAGTCCCATAGCTGTTGATGCCTCCTCAGCATCAGTGCATCACCTCTGGCACACCTTAGCTTTAAGGAAAGAAAGAAAGAAAGAAAGAAAAGAAAGAAAGAAAAAAAAAAAAAAGCCAGAAAGAGAAAGGCCACTGATCAGCTCCTCCAGTGCTCTTGAGCAATCTTTAGCAAACACAAGGCACTTCTAAAACAAACAGATACTGTGAAATACGGAAATAAAAACTGACGAGACACATTCCTTTCCCAGGGAAGGGAGGGGGAATCTCTGACTGCTTATTTTCCTGAGAAAGTCATTTACTTTGGAATATAATGGGAGTGAGGGGGGAGGAAGGGAAGGAGGAACCTCAGTTCAGCTCAGGTTTCCCGGACCAGCAGTTACTGGAGATAATCTTTTTAATGTCTCAATTTAAATCACAGACTGACTGGAGAGTAAAGGAAAAAGTTCATCATCTAATGCTGCCTTTTCTGGCTCCACTCAGGAGATGGTACTCCATCTTATCCATGCTATTCATTGGAAAGGTAAGGAAAACATTTTTGTCAAGGTTAATTCCAATAGACTCACCACTGTTTGGGTATGAATAATGAATTTTATTTGGAGGGAGATGGGTGGGGGACAAGGCAGATTTGTCCTCTGACTCCCAAGAAAGAAAACATACATCTCGCATACAGTAAGACTGTGTCTAGTCATTTAAAAATGAAAATAATTTAAGAATAGAATTTGGAGACTTATGTCAATATTCACAATTCCTTCAAACAGTTATAGTCCATTACAATTATTAATGCCAGAAGCATAATTCAAGGTCCCCACAGACAAAATAAATCCTCTTGAATTTAATTTCGGCAACTGTTATTTAAAATAATAATCTCTGGAAACTGCCATATCTGCTACAGTGGATCAGTACACAGGAGTTCATAGGTATATCCATGACATTGCTCACCTCTGTAGCAACACCTGAATCATTTCACAAACCCCCATACAACGAGAACAGAAACTTCCATCTGCATTCTGCTGTGAAGCTAATGAAATGCTGATTTGACTAGAAAAGCTGCCATTGTTTACTACTCCATAATTCTGTTATTCAGCTTCATCCTCTATGTAGCGTTAGGGTTTCTGTATTTATTAGCCGATCAGCATAATAAGTAGTTGCTTTAAAAAAATGTTCTTCGAATTGCAGGACATCATCTTGCTCACTTTATTCGCAGTTATGGAGGAAGCAAACGTGAAAAGAAAGCACCTTCTGTGTTCAGTTTTAAGTAAATGCTTGATTAGTTCAAGAATCATTAGGCAGGTAATTAATTGTATGCAATCTTGCTTTTTGGAAGGCCCCTAAAATGTTAAAACCATCTTTAATCCTAGAGTTCCTGAGACTAGAAGACTGGCAGTGAAAATTAATGAATCCACATAAAATGATCTCCAAGGTCATTCAGATATTATGCTGGCATTTGCTTTAAGTCTCTTTAAAAGTACCGGAATCTCTCTGATGTTTTTGGTAGTCCTTGCTGCGTCTTCAGGAGAAATTTCAGATACTAGAAAAGAGAAAGATCTCAATGCTGTAGCAGCAGTTTGAGAGAAAGCATTCTTTCTGGAGTTAATCTCCTGCCGTGCATCGCCACGCTGTACGGAAAGTCCTTTTGATTTTATAACATCCCAGATTATTTCCAGCTATTCATTCCCTTCGCCTATAAGCAACCGAGCACGTACAACATCACTACTTCCTCGCATTCTTTGTTAAAGCAATAGAGCAATCTTTCTCACCTACACGCATCCTTATCAGCCGCTACGATGAACTGCTGGACCGGGGAGTCCTACGCACTGTGGTGCGGCTAGGGCTTCTGTCGCTATCCCTCTGCTTCCCCCTGAAATGCCTGCTCACACCTGAGCGCGCTCCGCCCCTCGCCTCCT